GAATTTCTAATGTTCTGTAATGAATTTCTAATGTTCTGTAATGAATTTCTAATGTTCTGTAATGAATTTCTAATGTTCTGTAATGAATTTCTAATCTTCTGTAATGAATTTCCTATTTTACAGAATGAAGAAATGTACGCAGAAGGTGAACTGAGGAATAATCTTGATGACAGTGAGCGAGAGCGAGATTTGCAGGACAAAGTCGCAGAATTGACAGCAGAGGTAATAAATTTGACATTACATTGTCCAATTAATCGCTCTTCATTCATCAGAATATCCATAAAACGTATTCCTGAATACATAGAAGAACTGATGATAATGAAATGTTGAAACAAGAAATTAACTTGAATTTCTTCGGGAAGCAATTGCTACATCGCATTCGTTGGATATACGATAGTAATTAACACACTAATCCCTTATTATAGTTCCCCACGCCAATAACCAGCCCTGAGACAGAGCCTTGGCGATGGCTCGAGTAAGTTTATAAAAGTCTCTCGAGTACGTTTTTCTTTTTATCATGAACAAAACGTGTGTCAGTGTTTATGTACTGGAAGGGAGTGTCTGGCTGGTAGTTAGAATCGTATAAAAATGCTATGAAAGTCTCGTGAGATAGTGGATGAATGCCCTGAGGAAATGGAGCTGAAGTGCATGATGTCATTGAGGTATTTCGTTCATTGTGAATGTGAGGATTTTGCATGAAAAAAATGGCAAATTGCGAGATACATGAATTGTCAAATTCTTAATTTCAATCAGGAGGTCTGAATTAACAGATAATACTGCAAGATCTGCAAGAATAACGAGTGCGATGTAAATTTCATTAGCACAAAAAAACTGCATTGCATTATGTAGTGATAGATTATGTGGAATTGTTGATTTGGAGATGAGTAATGATGATATTTTTGCAACAGATCTTGAGATTGAGAAACAGCAAACGCCAGTGGACAGGCTCAAGTGATAAAAATTTCACAATCGACACTGAGAGTGAAATTGACGATCTGCGTATTTGCCTGCAAGACCAAATGATGAATTCAACATCATCGAGTTCATCGAGGCTCTAGCACACCCAAGAGCTTGCATCGATTGATCCATTTATGGATTTACCATCGATGCGAGCTATAAACACTTATTAAATTAATTAAATTTATAGGCGTATGTATATGGCACAATACAAAGTATTGCATTATTGCATTTTAGTATTAGAGGCTCTGCTTTTAATAAGTGAATTCTTTATAAGAAAATTGAGTGATAAGGATTATTGTAATGAGCAAATGATGATAGTGAAATTACGTGAGTTATTAGTTTCTGTGAGACATATATTTATAGTGTTTTAGATTGTTTTCACGTGATGAAACATTCGAACTGTTGGTCCATTGTTACTTCAAATGATTTTATTGACTTTTGACTTTTTTTTTCTATTTTATTGAATTTTAATTATGATAACTGTTCAGCAGTTGGATTATCCTATTTTAAGGGGCCAATCGTAGGAAAATTGCAGAGTTAAGATCTTTGATTTTTCCATGTGGTGTTCCAATTATTTATTAATGTAATTGTAGCTGTATTGTGCACACGTGCAATTCTTCTTGTGAATGTAACTGATGCAACTGCTGATGTGGTGGAAGCACCAGTTTTGGAGATGATTTGAATTTTTCCATTGGATTTTCATTTACTGAAATTTTTTTGTTGACATTCTGTAGAGTTGAGGAGAATCGTGGAAATGTATGAATCCTGAGACAAAACTGGTGCATTACGGTAAACAATTTTATATAATTTTTTCTAATGTTTTCAATAAGAGCATGTGTACATCAACACCAAATAAACGAAGACATTAATCATCTGCAATGTTAGAAACCACTGAACACGATCTGTAGAGGTGTGTAATTCTATATGAAATATATAAGATTGCAGTCAGCAAACAGAAAACTCCAATAGCTATATTTTTTCCTCTAGTCTTCTCTCTTCGTTCCTCTAGTTTATATCTCACTCGAGCTCCAACTCTTGGATCTGGAAGGAAGTAATAAAATAATGATAAGCGATTGAGCGTGAAATAATTTCAACCAGAAACTGTTCATGTTAATGTTGATGATTTTTAATTACCTCCTGCATCTTCTGTGCCTCTTGCGTCAGTAAATTATCAAGAATTTCTTGGAACCTCTGGCGTAACTTGAGATTCTCGATGTTTGAGATTTCAGCCTCTTGTTGTTCTCTGCGATGACGTAATTCTCGGAGCTCGCTGTGCAGTTGTTCGAGTCGCGATTGTACCGAATCTATTGCATATCAAAACACGTTATCAGCATTTGCTACTAAATTAAATTTACATCTAAATATTTAACTGTTCATTGAGACGTATTCACCTTTAGTCATTGACATCGATCCACCCTCAGAGTAAATATCAGGAATTATGTACTCAGAGTGGAATACCTCAAGTTTCGGGATTTTCTGGACAGTTCCAAGACTCTCCTGGTCGTCCTGAGACTCTGAGGGGAACATATCCTTGCTGAACTCAGTGATTAATTCCGTGGTGCTGGTGTCTTGTCCAGAACGTTCACCATATCGAACTTGGATGGAGTTCGAGTCAGAGACTCTGCTATCCGCTGATAACCTACTATTCTCATCCAGCTCTATGACGTTGATGTTCGCCTCTTCGTCGTCATCCTCACTATCACTGACAGCCTCTCCAAATATGTCGTGTTCAGCTATAATAATTCAATGGGAAATTTTATTACAGCATTACCTTTAGAGGTATAGTTGCATGATTAATTTACTTGGACTCTGTGAACGGATTTTGCCAGGACAATTAGAATAATGATTCTAAAATTGTTTATATTATCATGAGGCAATTAAAACAGTGATGGAGACAATGTTTACTCACCAACATCAACACTTTGGGAGGAATTCCCATTAACATTGTCCCGTTTTCCCTTGACAGTCCCCGAATTCGATACTTTGTTGGGTTTGGTAGTGTCTTCGTCCTCACAAATCACCTCCCACTTGACACTAACAGCGTCGTTATCACCCCTGAGAAGTCTCTTGACTTCCTTCTCAATCTCTGGTGCTTCGACGTATTTTTTCTTCAATGTTTTTCTAAAACGTCTTCGTCGGACGTTTTTTACTGGTGGTGTAATTCCGTGTGGCCAGAGAAATTTTCTGTCTACTTTGTTTGGATCTTTCTTCTTCTGACGCACTGGGGACTCGTCGTCTGTTATTTGGTCGTCCTCTTCTTTGCAGATGAGCATCTGGAAGTCGGGTGGAGCATATTCTTGCTTTTATTTTCTATTTCGGTAGTTGGGGGTGAAAATAGATTGAGGATTTTTATTTTTACCTGGCAGATGTCAGCGGTTTTGTAGAAACTCTTGTTGTCGATTGTTTTCAGGGACTCGACGACTGTGGGAAGATCGACAACCTGATGATTTGAAAATTCAATGGAGTGAAATGAAATTTCATTCAGGAAGTAAAACCTGTAAAAAATGTAAATACCTTTGCATGCAGCAACCAATGATCCATCCTAACTTCTCCATATCTCAAATCACTCTCAAGTTTTATCGCAAGTCTGTCCTTCAAAGACGCTCCGGACTGCAGCAATTCCCTGAGTACCTTAGCAGGTTCCTAATATCACAAATGAATCATCAAAACAAATATACAAACCAAATAGAAAACAATCCGAGAAAATATTTACCACAGGCAGCCTCATAACAAATTGGCTCTCCAACTCCGCCTGATTTGCCTGATTCTTCGAAGTCTCAGAATTATTAAAATGTCGATGCATGACTCAATGAATAAAAAAGAACCAAAATAAAACGTCTCCTTAAATTCTTCCAACTCTCCAGCCTGCCAAAAAAGCCTGAGGTCCTTTAAAAAAAAAATCTAAAAAGACAGGTTATGATGTTTACAAATGCTCTGACTGAATTCCCCCCCTTCACACCCCAATTGGGGTACAGTTGGTACAACTGGAGGGTATGACGCATCGATGGGAGGAAATCCCGAAGAAATATCCTGTAGTTGGAGGGGGGTGAAGGGGCAGAAGAGGGAGAAGTGAAACAAAATGTAACGACGAAGAAAAGAGGGGTAGAGTGAAAAAGAGGGGGCTAGAGCGAGGGAGAAAAGAGGGGATGACAGAAAGGGGCAAGTACAATTAAATATGGCGCCGGTGGGGTGTGGCGCACGCGCATGCGTAAAAAGTTTCCCCAACAATAGCCCCTGATACCCCCTCCCCACTCACTTATCCACCGGCCGGCAAAGCACGACAAAGTACAGGAAAGCACATCGAAGTATCAGTACCTCTCGATATTTCGTGGCGCGCAAATATCACTCTCGATAACTAAACGAGACACCTCACGAATAAAGACAAGACGCGAGAGTACTTTCACCCTTTGGTTTTATATTTTTGAAGAAGAAAAACAAGATGACGGTCGCTACTGAGGCTGAGAATAATACAACTGTCGCTGAGAAGGAGAATAAGGAGGTGAAGGATCTGAAGGCAGCTCTCAACGAGGAGACGCCGTCTGATAACAAGCAACAGACTGGGGATGAGACCAAGGACACTGAGAAAACTGAGGGTGAAAAAAAGGACGAGACAACCAATGACGATAACACGAGTAAGACAAATGTACACAAGGTGAATTTCGAGAAGGATGTCGTCTACCTTTATCAACTATCACGCACACCCCTCATTCCATCCATCTCACCAAATTGTCTCAAAGTTGAGACCTGGTTGAGACTCAACGACATCAAGTACGAGGTATTTATCATTTCATTCATATTCTATTTTTTGCTCCATTGTTCATCCCCTCCTCTTCCAAAATTTCCCCCATTTTCTCGTCCATTCTTCTTTTCACCCTCTGGAAATATCAAATTCTGTAGCTACAATATCCTTTTTATTATTTTGCATATCATCTTGTTTTTATTGAATAGTCAATTCCCAGTGGATTTTTAAGTTCAAGTATTTGTCTGACAATTTAGTGAGAAAATTCCCGAGTTTTATAATTCCCACAGGGCCAAATGTGGGTAGCAAATGTTCTTACATCGAAGTACTTTTGTTGTTGGGCTCGAGTAGGACGCCATTCTTATATTCTTAAGCCCCTCATGTTTCGCCGTCCTTGTTGCATCCTCGCCCTTCCCTTTTAAAACTCCAGAGCCCCCCCGTAATGCTTTATATAGATTCCTTATGGGACAAAAATGCCTCTCCGTTGGCGTTACAAATGCCTGAGTAACTGTAAAAAAAAAATGAGGGATGTTTTTCTCATTCTGTAAAAGTGTTTGTTTAATATTTGAGATTTTCCATGACTCCCCTCGGTATATCGATTTCCTGTGGTGGCTTTCATCCTCACTCTCGAGGGAAAAGAGGGTAATCTAATTTAGAGGCTTGTCTTGAGGATGTAAATGAGGAAAAATTATGGGGAATGTGCGCCTCAGACAGAGGATGTATTCATGCGTTCCAACTTTCTTCTGGGTTGAAACGCAGAATTATCTCGTCACTCTTGAGACGAAAATATCATGAATGAGTAATGATTCATAACTTTCGATAAGAGATTCAAAAATTCCTAGTATTTATCACCCGGAGTATTTTTACGAGGCAGTGATTCAGCATTTGCTTCTTTTTTTTTACGCATAATTGGCTATTCGATGCACGATGCCAACAGTTATGCATCGTTAATTATATTTATTAATTGATATTGGTAATGCACAGCTGAATAGCTCTCTTTCTCTCTCTCTGTATCTGGATCGGTAGCAGGAAAATAGAGGAATAATTCACATTTATTTAACGGTTGCATGAGCACGACATTCAATGGGGGCAAAGGAACTCAGTCACTTTACACATAACAATTCTGCAAAACGTTTACGTCCTGTCATTTATCTTTTGTATTATTCTTATTCTCCAAATGGGTGGGGTACGCAACAAGTGAACATTACATTTTCCCAATTTTCATTGTACCAGTCATTACGATAATTACATCTTGTCCTACGGTATCGCCTAAACTCATAAAACCGTTACGATTCATCGAGTCCCTCACTCACATGCCCAGTGGTCAGGGTCAGGGCATTTAATGACGAATCGGTGCCGTAGGTCATTAAATACTTTCTCATCATCCAAATAATGCCATTGAGATTAAATCTGCAATTAGGTGAACCATTAAATTCGTTATTAAGTGCATTAACTCTCGCATGCGAGATATTCCCACGAATTATGAACAAAGAGAATCGATAATGCGTGAAAAATTGATGAGTTTGGGTACCTGGAGTTTATAATCGATCCAAGTTTAAATTTCCAGCAGAAATGCACGGGCAAAATCCCTTTCCACTGCCTTCTCTCGCCAATAAACTCGAAAACTTCCAAAATATCCAATACTAACGCTGAATTTCCAATATTGGAATATCTGGTGCATTCAATTGGTGAGTAAAAATCCATAAATCATCACGGGATTGCAGAATACCTACTTCGTGACAGGGGGGGGAGAGTATAAATCATGGGCAAAACTTTTAGCCATTACATGACGGTAAAAATAGATGAAAATAGTGGATGGAGGGGGTTCCTGGTGGAATAATAAAAATGGAAATCCCTGGAATATTGTTACGCATTTTCTCCTTTTATTCCGTTTGTTTCGAATGAATGAGACTGTCTCTCTGTCGCTCTTTTGCCAAGTGGTGGCTCAACGACGATCAATACGAGTACAGTACGATAACAACCACGATGATGGCAACTCCGGAGCTGTCGAGTGGCGGGGATGTTGCCAGGCAACGGAAGCTGTCTACCCATGGGTTCATCGCCCTTCCTCCCATTTTCTCTCTCTCTCTCTCTTTTTACCCCCCCTTTCTCGCACCCTCTCTCCCCCTTTACCCAACCCCTCATCGCCTGCCCCCACCACCCCATCCCACTCTCCCCCAACATATAATACAGTAGTGTAATTTTTTATGAACGACATAACTTAATTAATTACATCTGATATGTCGTGACCATTAAGAAATGAGAGGAAACACCATCTCCCACTCTTTCAAGTCGTTTCTTTTGTTACTCTACCTCAATTAGGCATGATTAAGTGAAAAATGTATTTAATTCTTTCAGAATGTCGACCATAAGATGAAATTCCGCTCGAAGAAGGGACAGCTGCCATTTATTGAGCTTGATGGCACTGAAATTGCTGACAGCTCGCTTATAATAAAAGAACTCAGTCAGAAATTCAGGAAAGAGTTGGATGCCAATCTCACTAATGAACAGAAACTCATCTCCCACGCTATGACATCGATGATTGAGAATCATCTTGTGTGGGTGTACACGTACTGGCGCAGCAAGAATATGGATCAGATCATCAAGGGGTATAAATTGAATTTGCAGCACGCCTTTGGATCGCGTCTGCCAAATGGCATTCTCAATTTTTATTTCAAGATTACGTATGGGCGGAAGGTATGTGCATTTATTTATTTTTAAAAATTTTTTTGGTAAATGTTGTAGTGAATTTCATGTGGCAGATTAAAACATCTAAACAGATATTCAAGACTTTACTTAATTTAATTGATTAATCAATTGAACAATTTTTCAATGACTGCAATTAAAGTCAACGTGAAATATAATAGAAATATCGGGAAATCAGTGCTGAGTATTGAGACGAAAATTTGTCAATAGCGCATTTAGGAATTTAATTAATTTATTGAGGTATGGGGGTATGATTGAGGGTTTATTCAATTTTCAGAATCTGAAGAAAGTGAAGGCCATGGGAATGGGTGTGCACAGTACTGAGGAGATTATTCAGCTGGGGTATGACGATCTTAAGGTGCTCTCTGAGCTGTTGGCTGATAAGCCATTCTTCTTTGGTGATGAACCCACCACTGTGAGTATTATTTATTATTTTTTCCCCCATAAATGCTCTCGAATTATTTTGGAATATCAAGTGGAGATGAATGTGTAGCTGAGATTGAAAACATGTTTATTATAATTTCAGCTGGACGTAACAGCTTTTGCCCACCTGGCACAAATCCTCTACATCGAAAAGTCAACGACCTTCGCACTGAGGGACTACATGCAGGAAAATTGCTCGAATCTCGTTGGCCTGTGCTCACGCATGAAGGAGAGGTGTCTCCCCGATTGGGACGAAATCTGTAACACTCTGGATTTAAATACTCATTTACCAAAACCACCAAAGGAAGAGGAAAAGGACAGCAAAGGCGAGAAGAAAGAGACAAAGGAGTCCAAGGAGGGAAAAGAGGGTGACAAAGAGAAGGCTGATGTTGAGGAGAAGGAAGGAGAGAAGGATAAAGAAGTTGAGGAGAACAAAGAGAAGGAGGAGAGAGTGGAGGATAAATAAATACGTAATGGTTAATGGCTGATGCAACCAGAAAATGAAATAAGAGTGGACGGTGAGATTAAAAAAAAAAAACAATTAAAGAATGAGTCAGATAAGGGAAAATTAATTGAAATCGTATGATGAATTAAACGTAGAAAATTTATATAAGAAATACGAAACAAAGAGTCTGGAAGAGTTCTCATAATTGCTGATATAATTCTCAAAGTATATAGTACTGATTATTCATTTTATTATATTGATTTATATTCATTTTTTATTTTTATATATTTTTTTTTATTTTAGCATTTATGTGTAGCTAACGTATACATTTTTGCTGTTCTTCCGACTCTGCCGATTTTTTTTTATTGCAATGATTATTATAGTGGCACTGATGTTACAGAGTCAGAATGCAATATTAAAGCTATTGCAATAGATGTTTTTTTGCCATAAAGTTCATTTTTTTTTTAAGTGAAGAAATGTAAAGTACGTAAATTTCCGAGGAAATCTAAAATTCCATTGAGAGTCGATTGCCCCCTTTTTTTATGAGACACGATCATTTGAGGGAATTTCAAATGATTGAACAAATTGAACTCAATTTAAAATTGTTATGGAGTAAAATAATGAATAGTTATTAGTTAAAGCTCTCTTGGCCATGATCGATGAGATAATCGATTATTGGCGGACGTTTAATTATAATGAGGAACTGAAGACAATGGCCCGAGACAAATGCAACAAAATCGACCAATGGAGCAGCTCAATATAGCAAAAAAAAAAACGAAACAAGTCGTATCGATAGTCAGCAGTTAAAAAAAAAACTCGAAAAATTTGTTCATTTGAAGTCATGAATTTTGTGATATGAATGAAAGCGAAGTTACGATACGATTTAAACAAAAAACGACTGTATTATTAACCAATTGCATGCGTCATATTCTAATCGATTCGAAATTTATTGAGTAGTTTTAGCGAATTTAAACGGAAATGAGACACGAATGACGTCATTAAAGTACAATAATCATTTTTTCAATAGATTTAAATGAGAAAAGCAGACAGGAGAATTGAATCTGGGGTGAAGTGAAATAAAAGGGAGAGCTTTTATTTTATTTCATCTCGTCTCCATGCAGAAACGCTTTCGATGTTTTTGACACCAGTCTTGCATTTGTAATGACAGAATTTTTTACACTTTTTTTTTTTTACTTTTGGTCCAGCCTATCAACGCCATTCCTGTTAGTGGTAGATTTTTTTAATATTGTATGATATTCTTTTTACTAAACGATATATTCGATAAGGCGAAATATAAAGATACGAATCCTTTTTTACTGAATTTTTTACAACTATCATTTACAACTGAAGGCATTTATCATTATCGTATGCATTGCTCGTATCAATGGCGACTAAAAAAAGCATTGGTTTATCTTTTTTTGTGCATTCTCGTCGTAACTTGCACATGTAATTTTCATCAACATTGTTCATGTCAATTATTTCATTTTATTCTCGTAATTTCTCCTTCATTTTTAAAAAATCTGTAATTAGTTACTTTATTATCGATATTTTATATTAGAGAAGTGGACGGATTGACGTCCAAAATAATTACCATGACATGTCTTTCTGATAGAGAACGATTATTATTTACTTTTATGTTTGCTCTCTTTCTCTTGGATAAGTGGCAGCTGAACTCACTTGTACGCCTATTAAATATTTCTGTTGTTTTATTATTGGACTGAAGATTTGATTTTTTAATGATGATACGGCTAATTGAATGAACGAACTGTATTCTGTATTAGGAAATGAACGGAGGAATGGAAAACGAATTGAAAGCACATGCAAAATAGTTTATGAATAGTATACAGTGCATATTAAAGTAATTCAATGTGAGTTATAAGATATTTCGGTTACTCAGTGCTATACATTTCACTGTCATTATTACACCACCATTAATTGTATCATGCGAGAAAAATAAAATGTGTTTATAAATAAAAATTTTGTTGATTTTATTTATCAGGGACTTATCAGAGATTGAAAAAATCGATATGACTTATCGTTTGTGGAGGTGTACCTTTTCCCAAATGTTTTTATTACTGACGGCCCAGCTGGTTTTAAATCCCTCGAAAATATTTGGGACTTATCTGTTTACCTCAAACAGGGATTTTCCCAACATGACGAACTTGAGGCCCTTCAACCCTCATTTCTACCTCTCTGGCACCTCCCGGTGAGGCCATTGTGCGATTTTAAATCCTCTACTATTACCATTTATCACATTTTTGGGTATTTATTGTTTTATGAGCTCTCAGGAGGCGATTAAATCCCCAGAGAATCTATTGATTGTTTTGGGGCAGGGCAGAATGGCCGGTTTTTCACTCCAAGAATAAATTCCATTCCCGTGAAACTTTTATGAACGAAAATATCGATTTTTAAATGCAGTCAGTCCCAAATAACTTGTATTGATTTTCCTTATCTGGAACTGTGAAATATTTACATATATAATTAAATTTTTTTATTCATTCTCAATAAAAATACAAATATAAACATTACATATTTGTATATATATGTATATATGTATTATTGAAAATTAATTGAAATTTCAGGTAAATTAAAGCGTTTTTTTCCTTTAGAATACCAAAAATTGTTTAGCAGGAATTTTTTAAACAAAATATTTAAGAACTTCCGCGTGGATTTGAAATTGAATTTAGAGCTGTCTGTAGAAAATTCAATGGAAATTTTTGAATGTTTAAGGGATTTCCTGGTATTTTTTATCGCTCTCCCTTCGATTTTCGAGTGAATGCAGGCAATCAAACCCTCGCGCCCCAACTTCCTGGAATTTCTTGCTGAGCATGAGAACTCACCCTAACAACCCCTGTTTTATATAAAAAAAAAATATTGGGCACCCGTTTACGTCATGCCCACCACTTCAGTGCCAAAAAGATCTGAAAATTCTTTGATTAATCTCTGAAACAAATCCCTTCCCTTCAGTAACTTGAAGTCTTTTTATAATTGTGAACTGTCAGTGTGGAAATCCCGGGGATTCTGTTGAATTCGAATGGATCGAATCAAACCCTCTGCATCAGACATTATGTCAATACATTGAGAAAAATTGGATACTAAAATTAATATCTTGAGTCTATTGACGTGAGTATGATTTTCCACTGCCATTTCAACTCAAATACATTATTCATAGATTTATTATTAATTCTTATTTGATCTTGATTGAAGACAGTTGACATTTTTCATTTATAATTAATAAATTTATAAATTGGATTCTGAATGTCGAATAATTGTGTATTTTAAATAAATCTGGTGCGTATTTAGTTTGTTTATGGATTTACTGACTGTTTCTCTGAATTTTTAGAAAACTCAAAGATGGCTGTGGAAATATTCGATGAAGATCATTTTGCCATCAGTGCAATTGTCACTATTGGCATGCAGCTGATTTTTTTCTCGGTAGCTGCGACTTTTCAAATGGACAAAGTCACGGATTTTGCTGGAGGTGTTAATTTCATTATTGTTGCACTTTTGACGTTTTATCTCGGTCAAGAAGGAAAAGTGAGTGCTCACAATAAATTCTGACGCTTGAGAGTCCTTTGTTAATTACTAAAAATTGATTATTCCTCAATCGATAACTCCAATTATTTTCTCTGATTATAAATATTCTTTTAGACACATGACAGTCGTCAATTGATGGTGACAGTGATGGTATGTATTTGGGGGGCACGTCTATCCCTCTATTTGCTGTATAGAATTCTAAAAATTGGAAGAGACAAACGATTCGACGATCGCAAGAGTAATGTTATAAGATTCGCTGTCTTCTGGACGTTTCAAGTAAATATTCCGAGATTATTATTCCTGTGAAAGGATAATTCAATTGATGAGTGAATTTTCTCAGGCAATTTGGGTGTACGTCGTGAGTCTTCCCGTGATAGTAATTAATTCACCACGTCATAAAATTCCTCTTGCCCCGAAAACAATGACGACTCTGGACAGCGCTGGAACTGGTTGCTTCGTCGTTGGACTTCTAGCTGAGACTTACGCAGATTTACAGAAATTTGCTTTCAGACAGGATCCGGTTAATAATGGGAAATGGTGCAACGATGGTAATTCTATTAAAATTATTTTCTAATTCAATTGTTCTCCTGGTACTGCCTCATTCATACCACTGAATCATTTAATTGTTGTAATTAAATATCCAATAATGAGATTAAACAATCATTAATTAAACCCAAATTAAATTTGTGACCCTTAATTGGTCTTGATTGATTAATTGATATCAATTTTAGGGCTGTGGAGCTTCTCCAGGCATCCGAATTACTTCGGAGAAATTCTCGTCTGGTGGGGAATTTTTGTGATTTCTCTGAACGTCATCCAGGGGATAGAGTGGGTCGCCATCGCCTCTCCAATTTTCACGACGTTTATATTACTATTTTTATCAGGAATGCCATTGTTGGAAAAATCAGCAGACGAGAGATACAGAGAGTAAGTTTGACTCTGCAATAATGACCTCGTTTCAGTTAAAAATCAATCAATAAAACGAAAAAGGTAACATAGTTAATAACTTTGTCGTTGACTAATTGAAAATGGGTATTGACTTTTCATTTTTCGATTTCTTATCGCTATTTTTTGTCTAATGTATTAGAAAGATATTTTTCTATTTGGTGAATCATTTGGGAGAGATATGATTCTTAATAAATATTTTTAATTGTTCCCAGTAATGCGGAGTATCGACAGTACAAACAGTCAACTTCCCCTCTGATTCCCATACCCCCAACAATTTACTCGGAAGTTCCCTGGTTCCTCAAGTTCCTCCTCTGCTGTGAATTTCCCCTTTACGATTCCCTCGATGTCAAGCCACGATCAGCTGTCACTGAGTCAACATCAATCAGCCTGGCAGCGTCCACGTAGCTATAAATTCACGTCGGGTTTTCACTCTTTTGAATCCCGGCGTTTCTTCTTTCTTTCCAATAATTTCATTATTTAATTTATCTTTTACAAACCCTTAATTGCTTCAATTTCTTTGTTGCAATTTTCTTTTATTTTGCATTTTGTACTCTAGTCTTCCTTGAAAAAATCGATTTTACGCCATAGGTACGAATTTTGTTATTTATTAAATTATGAAGTATCTGGATTTTTATTATTTATTTTGTTCTAGGTAGAGACTAATCAAATGGGAATGAATAAATTCCGAACGAGGATAACAGTGTAGGATAAAATGAAAAGATAAATTAAACATCAGAGAAGAAAATTTGATGATGACTTGTTCGGTTGTCTTTTTATTTTATTCAACAACGAAAATTACTAGAATAACTGAAAATTTATCGATTGACGATTGAGCCCAGAAGCAAGAGAGAATCGAAAAAAAAGACATTCTGTGAATGCTATTTTCTGAATTGTTTTTGGATCGAGAGTGTGAGACGAAGTTTGAGAGAATAATCTAGTCCGTAAACGAACAATTTAAGCTCAATGGAAGATAATGAGAGCAGATTACAATTAACTAAGAAATTACGATGAAACTCAAGAAATATCGAGAAAGTCCAAACGTATTTATGATCGAATAACTGATTGAGATGAATTTATCCAAAGAATGTTCTGTAGACTGGACCAATAGTCCTAGGGGTGATAGACATAAATTAGTTGTTAATAGGTTTGAAATTTCTCAAAGGCCTCGTTCAACCGTAATTACATATTTCTGGTCCTTAATTTTTCATCTCTCGTTGAAGAAAAAAATTACAAGTCATAATTCCTTGAATGGGAAATTAATTATTTACGAATAATCACAAAATAGACAATTCCAAATTATTATTTTCGTTGATGTATATCTTTTTTTGTGATTATTTTTCAATGACGCAAAATTAATCAAATTCAGAACTCCAAATGTCAAGAAGAATTTCGACGAAAAGAAATTCGTCACGATTCTTGGATATCCTCAATATTTCATGAACATAATCAATTAGCTGTTACATCCATGTCGTCAGACGCAACTCAATGCAGTTGTTAATTATCTAAAAACGAGACTTGAAAAACGAAAAAAAAAAACGTACACCATGAGTGATGTCATTCATTTACGAAGAAAATTTCTTGAGAGGTCATTCAGAAAATTATAGCCTCAAGCTCAGCCCTAGCAGAAGCTTCCAGTGCATGAAAACAATTTCCTAGTCGTAAGAGTTCCACACAAAAAAAAAAGAAATCCAATTTCTGCGTGTCTTGTAAATTCGAAGAAGCCTTAGTATTTCATAGAGAATGAAATCTACCATCAATTATAATTAATCAAATCAGTGGGGAAAATAAAAAAAACTGCAGTTGTATCTAGTTAACTCGATGAATAAATCATAGGGGCGTAAAAATTTAGGCCTTAGAGTTAATGGAAAAACGAATTTATTTATCTTAAAATTTGTACATAACTTGGATCGCCTAGTTCACTTAATATCAATCAAAGATACGAGTCTTCAGTAAGAAAATATTAATTAATAGGTATGTAAGATGGCAGGGTCCCTATAGGGGATCTTCTAGGGCGTATCTCCTCAGCAATTGGTTGTGATTTCATCTCAATGTCTTCAGTGATAATATCCTCCGATGCTTTGTGCATCATCGCCATTACTCTGATTTTATTATTGATATTGCACTTTTTTCTCTCTAAATCTTCGGTACTACAGCTCTCATCGTAATATCTCTTTTTACTGTCACCGTGAGATGAAATATCAACCGATTTTTTCAGTGATTTTTGCTTGTTGTATGAGTTTAACGATTTTGGAAGCCTCAGAGTGTTCTGCTGTGGTAACAAACATGATTTATGAGGATATGGACAATTCTTACCTTTTGCACATTTCCCGTACTTGTCAAATTCAGGACAAATGCTGGTATGACGCTCTTTGCACTGTGAAATAATTTGTTGGATGATAAATAATTAGATAAAGTTGGTGATAGTAACACGTGGCACGTTGAAGTACCATGGATTCTTTGTGAAAATTTTATCATATCAAGTTGTAATGTTCATTCTATTATTTATTGGTGAGTCAAAAAATTGAGGAAATTATCTCAATCAATTGGATCTAATGAATAATAGAATAAATCGTTGAAGTTGAAATGTAGTAATGAATTACCTGGTCACCCTTGGCACAGTATCCTCGAAGGAAAGGCACACATATTGGAGTATTCGCCGAAACTTTAACGTGGAGATATTGACAGTTGTCGCGTGTGCAGCAGCCCTCGAGAAAGTACTTGCACGTTGGCATTTTCTCTGGGCCAACGTCGTGGGACAGTGGACAATTGTCGAGAAGGCATTTACCCTGGAGGAAACTAATTATCGAGATTGTCATCAGGTTTTATCATTCAGTGGAGGACTCATTGTTGGAATAATCAAAAGGATAAATTAACTATAATGAATATGAATTGTTGATAAGTTGATGATGTAGGAGATTCTAGAATTTTTAAAATCAGTGCATGCAGGAAAATCATTTACAGAAAGGGCATATGTACTTTTTACATAGGGCTACTTGTTTCTTGTCATGTACTTTGGGGCAGGTACCCTCTATATGTTTAGCACAGTAGCCAAATCGTTGGAAGAGGAGACATGGCTGATTATTTTTGCACATCTTGTGTCGTAATATTTGTAATGACCTCTGTTTTACTCGATTGCTGAAAAATAAATTCATGTAATTAAATTATGGACTTTGTCAGTTGATTGGTGGATGGATTAAAATACCTTATCACATGTTTGTAGTTGGATTTTTGGCTTGGATTCTGCAGGGACGATGTGCGGAAGGTACTGGGGTTTATTTTTGCTATTTTTCCATTTATCACGACGTGGGTGCGGATTTTTCTGGATTGAGGGGAGACAGGAGATTTTTTCTGGATCTTCGGGGATGAACTGCTGTTGGAACTCTTCACCAGCTGTGATTTCGATGAACGGTAGAACACTCCATCGATGTTTATCAAATTCTTGTTCTTCGACCTGTGAAGTTTTTCACAATTTTATTGATTTATCAATCATGACCAGATATTCAAATTTTTTTGTGGTTTACCCCAGTGTCTCCCTTGCGACTGTAGTTTTAATTTTGTCAGTGCCAGTCCTATCAATCTTATACTTATTCTGTGAGCCCCTTGAAGTGCTGGATTTTTGAGTGACCTTTTTCAAACTCCTCGCTTCCCTGTTGATTTTCTTCAATTGACTCGAAAAATCAACACCCTTGAGAGGACTCACTTTCCTCAAATGATTTGTACTATTGACCTTCTTCAATTGCTTCCCCCTGGAAACCCTGAGAATCTGCCCTTTGCCTAATGATTTTAGAATAGAACTCCCACAATTTCTCTGAGGAAGCTTCTGGTTCTCTGGTCTTATCCGCACCAATTTCCTCCTCGATAAAGAAACTAAATCCGGAGATGCAGGTTTGAACACTGAAACCTCGGCTTTTCTTTTATCCATTATTCCACCTGAGGACTGCGTTTGAGGTTGGAGTTTTACTCGTTCATCATTACGAATCTCTTCGATGATTTCGACATCTGGAATTCTGCTGGTGAGTTTCTCCATCAGTCTTGGATTCACGTGAACAGATTTCTGGACATTCTGAAACTTTTGATCTCTCGCCCTGGAGAAGGTGTTCTCAATCATTCCTTGTTGCATCGCATCATGTGTCAGTGTATTTATCATCCTGGGATTCACGTGAATTGCCATGTTGATGTGCACTTTGGGATTTATGTGGATCACATTTTTAGGTGCCTCTTTGAACATCGGGTTCACGTAAATTGTCGAGGGTTTATTGCTTGCTTGCATCTTCAGTTAATACGCACAATGTCATGGAATTGATGAATGAAGATACTGAAGCCAAAGCTCAAGGACTCGGTGCTCCTCTTGGAAATTTGGGTTGATTCTCATGAATTAATGTCGATGAATCACAAAAAATTCAATCGTTCAAACTTGTCAATAAAATTTATCCCAGAAAAATAATCTCTCATTTGCACGACCTAAAACAAAATAATAATCAATCTGCTGATGATCTAAAAAAATACCCTGAACAATTATTTTCATTACCTGTTTCTTCATGAAGTAAATATCCTCCCAAAATCCACAATTCGTCACTAAAAACAAGAATTCTCAACAGTCAGAAGTCATAAAATGTCAGGTCTACTTTTAGTCTATAATTTTTCTTCCTAAATAGCCTTTTGTTGACAGTTGAGGGTTTGAGTCCCTCCTCTGAACGAAAGGTCATTCAATTTCCCCGAAATAGCAATAAGGGAAATGGACATTCGTATTTTCTATGCAGATTTTCAGAGCAGGTATGCAACTTGGCCTTACCTGGAAAAACTCGTGACGTCACGTACGCGGAAAGTACTCTAGTGATTTCTGTAAAGGTACTAGAAGAAAATTTTGGAGGGAACTTTCAATCATACCAACTGCTGACAATCGCTGGAATGGTCATCGGCCATTTTTGCCCCAGTCCAGTGCTCTTCAGAATTACTCTATCGACTATCAATTGCCTGCCAAATGCATTGTATTATCATCAATAAACTCCCAAAAAACCATTGAAAAACAATAAAAAAAGATCCGCAAAGGTGAGTTGTGATGGAATGTGGATGATGCAAAGGAAATGAAAACTACTGTCCTAATTGTTTGTTGTAGGGACAATTATACATAAATAATGGCTGATTTCTTGGATTCGGAGGCTGAGGAGAGCGAGGCAAGTGATTTTTTTTTTTTATATAATTCCTGTCTGAAGTTTTTGAGGATTGAGTAATGAATTGTTTGGGTTCTGGGGGTGCAGGAGGAGCAGGAGTTGGACCACAATGAGAGGAAGAAACTCAAGAAGGTTAAAGCCATGGAGGAGAGCGACGAGGACGATGAGGATGATGAGGACCGAATCAGGGAGGAGTTGAAGGATTTGATCGATGACAGACCCATCGACGAGAGCGAGGGGGAAGACAGTGATGGGTCTGAGGGGAAGAAACGAAAAAAGAGTGATGATGAGGATTTTGATGATCGACTCGAGGATGACGACTACGATCTCATCGAGGAGAATCTGGGGATCACTGTCGAGAGGGTGAGACTATTATTAGTGAATTCAACTTTTTAACCGGTAAGGGGTTTGGAATCCCCAAGAAGGAAGTCAAATTTTTTTGTATTTTTTCGGGATTCAGAAACGATTCAAGAGGCTGAAACGAGTGCAAGATCGAGAATCTGATGATGAGGAGGAACATCATCCAGGGGAGGAGAGGGATGCCATTGCCAATGAGCTCTTTGATGGGGGATCTGGTGACGTGAGTATTTCGGAGAATCTCATGTATTTTGCCATTAATTTTTCAATTCACTGTTGGTTTATGCTTTCGTGTTAAGGAGAGGGATGCACTAGTGGTAGGTAGAGCTAGTTCTCGAGTTCATTATGTCCTCTATCAGGCATTTTCAAATTGTATTTCATTCTCGAAGTTAATTGAAAATGGAATGAATTTTTAAATCCATTCTCATTTTATTTAGAACGCCAATAGCTCCATAGTAAATTATAAATATATTTTGACAATTTTTTTGGGATAAAGAACTGTAAATTCCCTCTAGGAGGATGAACGCCGGAGTGAGAGAAGTCATCGCCAGGAACCGGAGACTTTCGATGAGGAGGGAAGTGAGGGGGAGTACTCAGACGCCGATGATTTCATCGTGGACGACGAAGGACGTCCCATAGCAGAACGTCGACGGAAGAAGAAGCCGATATTTTCGGACGCAGCCCTGCAGGAGGCCCAGGACATCTTCGGCGTGGACTTTGATTACGATGAATTCGGTAAATACGATGAGGGGGGATACGAGGAGGAAGAGGAAGAGGAAGAGGACGAGTATGTGGACGACGATGGAGAGGGTGAACGACCGAGGCGTCCGAAGAAGACTCCGAAGAAGAAACCCACGAAGAAGAGCATCTTCGAGATCTACGAGCCCAGTGAGCTCAAGAGGGGTCATTTCACGGACATGGACAATGAGATCAGGGTGACAGATATTCCGGAGAGAATGCAACTACGTTCGATGCCAGTGACAGCTGTACCAGAGGGTTCTGACGAGCTGGACCACGAGGCAGAGTGGATTTACAAGCAGGCCTTCTGCAAGCCGACGATATCTGTCCAGGACGCCCACCTGAACGCCGAGGCCAAGGATAGAGCGAGGAAAGGGCCACAGACAGTGGGTAAAATTAAGAAGGCCCTGGACTTCATGAGGAACCAATCCTTCGAGGTTCCATTCATCTCGTTTTATCGAAAGGAATACGTTCTTCCAGAGTTGAATATCAACGATCTCTGGAAGGTGTACAAATTCGATGCCAAATGGTGTCAGTTGCGTCAACGGAAGGAGAATCTTCTGGCTCTCTTTGAGAAGATGAGGAATTACCAGTTGGATCTGCTCATGAAGGATCCTGATGCCCCTCTTCCAGACTCTATTCGAGTCATCAAGGATGAGGACATAGAGCGCGTGAAGAACGTGCAGACCAGTGAGGAACTCAATGACGTCCACCAGCACTTCATGTTGTATTACTCTCACGATATACCTGCGATGCAGGAGGCAGTGAAGAAGAGGGAAAAAGAGGCTAAACGTCAGGCGAAAATTGCTGAGCGTAAGCAGAAACTCCTGGAGGCTGAGGAGAACGGCGAGGATCCACCCCCAGAGGAGGAGATTGAGATCGAAGAGGAAGAGGAGAACGACGAGAACCTCAAGCACGCTGTGCGCACTGGGCCCTATGCCATCTGCAGAAAGGCAGGACTTGATACTTTTGCTAAGAAGTTCGGTCTGACCCCTGAGCACTTTGCTGAGAATCTCAGGGACAATTATCAGCGACACGAGGTGGACCAGGAGCCCATAGAGCCCACTGTTGTCGCTCAGGACTTTCTTGGGGCAAAGTTCAAGGCCCCTGAGGAAGTTCTCAAGGCAGTGAAGCTGATGGTGGCTATTCAGGTGGCTCGAGAGCCTCTTGTCAAGAAATCTGTGAGGGAGATGTACATGGAGAGGGCCAAAATCAGTGTCACACCAACGAAAATTGGCATAAAGATGATCGACGAGACTCATCCCATCTACACCATGAAGTACCTCAAGGACAAGCCTGTGAGGGATCTCGTGGGGGATCAGTTCCTCAGGCTGGCGATGGCTGAAGAGGACAAATTAATTACCCTTACCATGAGTAATACCATTGAGGGAAACACTAGTGGAAATTACGTCGACGAGATGAAGCAGTTGTACATCAGGGATGAGTTCAGTAAAAACGTTCAGGACTGGAACAATCTGCGAGTTGGTAGTGTTGAAATGGCTCTGAATGAAATGGTGATACCAGCCCTGAAGAAGGAGCTCCGGGCTAATCTTATCGCCGAGTCCAAGGAGTCTGTCATGAAGGCCTGCTGCAGGAAGATGTACAATTGGATAAAGATAGCTCCCTACACCTGCGCTTTTCCCGAGGAAGAGGATGACGAGTGGGATACCAGCAAGGGCCTCAGAGTTATGGGAGTCTCGTACGTTCCTGATTACTCTCAGGCAGCATTTGCCTGCATGATTGCACCCGATGGCGAGTGCACGGATTATCTTCGTCTTCCCCACCTTCTTAAACGAAAGAACAGCTTCAGAAAGGAGGAGAAGGCCATGAAGGAGGCCGATATCCTGGCGATTCGTAATTTTCTGGCTACGAAGAAGCCACACGTGGTGGTTGTCGGGGGAGAGTCCAGAGAAGCACTGATGGTTGTCAATGACATCAAGGAGTGCATCACGGCACTTGTCGAGGAGGAGCAGTTCCCAGCGATTAGTGTGGAGGTGGGCGACAATGATCTAGCGAAAATCTATGCCAACAGCAACAAGGGTGTGGCAGAGTTCAGGGATTACCCGAGTCTTCTTAGAGAGGCCATTTCCCTAGCTAGACGTCTTCAGGATCCTCTGGTAGAGTTCTCTCAGCTGTGCACTGCTGATGATGAGATCCTCTGCCTGAAATATCACACATTACAGGATCAACTCCCCAAGGAAGAACTCTTGGAGAATATTTACTTGGAATTTGTTAACCGAGTAAATGAAGTAGGTGTTGATGTCAATAAGGCTGTGCAGCAGGCCTACTCTGGCAATTTAGTGCAATTTGTATGTGGCCTGGGTCCCAGAAAGGGCCAGGCCCTCATAAAAACCCTCAAGCAGACGAATCAACGTCTGGAGAACAGAACGCAATTGGTGACTGCCTGCCACATGGGGCCAAAGGTATTTATTAATTGCGCTGGATTTATAAAAATCGATACGAATAGTCTTGGGGACAGCACTGAGGCATACGTCGAGGTCCTGGATGGCTCGAGGGTCCACCCTGAGACCTACGAGTGGGCTAGAAAAATGGCGGTTGATGCTCTGGAGTATGACGATGAGGATGCCAATCCTGCTGGGGCTGTTGATGAGATTCTCGAGTCCCCAGAGCGGCTCAAGGATCTTGATCTCGACGCCTTCGCCGAGGAACTTGAGAGACAGGGCTTTGGCAACAAGTGCGTCACACTTTATGACATCAGGGCTGAGCTCAACTGCCGGTATAAAGACCTGAGGAGCCCGTACCAGTCACCCAGTCCTGAGAAGATGTTTGATATATTGACGAAAGAGACTCCAGAGACATTTTACATTGGAAAGAGGATTGAGGCAATTGTGACGGGCATCAGTAGGAGGAAACCCCAGGGAGAGCAGCTGGACCAGGCGAATCCAGTGAGAAATGATGAGAGTGGACTGTGGCAGTGTCCCTTCTGCCTCAAGAATGACTTTCCCGAGTTGTCTGAGGTGTGGAATCATTTCGATGCTGGAGCCTGTCCTGGAAAAGCCACTGGAATCAAACTTCGTCTTGATAACGGCATCTCTGGATACATTCATATCAAGAATCTCTCTGATAAACACGTCACCGATCCTGAGGAGAGAGTTGCCATGGGACAGACTGTTAACTGTCGAGTAATCAAGATCGAGGTGGACAGATTCAGTGTCGAGTGCACCAGTAAGAGCAGTGATCTTGCTGATAAAAATCATGAGTGGAGGCCCCAGAAGGATCCATTCTACGACAACGAGGCTGAGCTCAAGGACATGAAGGTGGAGGACGAGACGAAAAAGGTAAAGCAGACACAGACGTACGTGAAACGTGTCATTGTCCACCCATCATTTCACAACATCAGTTATTCAGAGGCTGAGAAGCTCATGAGAACGATGAAACAGGGGGAGGCGATCATTAGACCTAGCAGACAGGGGGCAGATCACCTGACCGTCACCTGGAAAGTGACTGATGACATTTATCAACACATTGACGTCAAAGAGGAGAGGAAGGCCAATGAATTCTCCCTTGGAAAAAGCCTGTGGATAAGCTCTGAGGAGTTTGAGGATCTCGACGAGATAATCGCAAGGCATGTGAATCCCATGGCAGCTTATGCTTCAGAGATGCTTGACTTTAAATACTACAAGGCAGGTGTTAATGGGATGAAAGATAAAGCTGAGGAGATACTCAAGGCCCAGAAGAAAGAGAATCCTGGTGGTATTCCCTACATAGTGTCTGCTGTAAAGAAGTGTCCAGGAACATTTCTGCTCTCGTATCTTCCTAGGGATAGGGTTGTGCATGAGTATGTACAAGTGACTCCAGAGGGTTTCAAGTACAGGAGGCAGATGTTTGGGAGAGTGAATGATCTCTTCCGGTGGTTTAAGGAGCACTTCAGGGAACAGGTACCTGGCCAGGCTACACCCAGCACTCCAAGGGGAGCACAGACCTCCAGAACGCCTTACCACACCACTCCAGGGGTCGCCATGAACCAGGAGGCCATCCACAGAGTTGCACAGAATCTTCCACATCATATGCTTCACTCGTTGTCTCAGGTGGCCAATCAGACTCCCCATTATCCTCCACACACACCTGGAGCTGCTGGGGCAGCTTATGTCTATCCAAATACACCTTACACACCGTCTGGACAAACTCCCTACATGACACCCTATGCAACCCCGCGAAATCATCAATTTACACAACCTGCACCCCCTCATCGCTCCACTCCATCACACAGACCAACACCTCAAATATCTGCTGCTGCTCAAGAGGCCATGGACTGGAAAAAAGCTGCTGAGGCCTGGGCCAGACTCAAAACTACTCCGAGGTACGATGGCAAGAGGTCCAGGACTCCCTCCAATAAATCACCCAGAACACCCCAAACCAATTCAAGTCCGAGATCCATGTCCCTCAGTGGGGACTGCACACCTCTCTGGGATGAGAGCTAGGGAATTTAATCATGATACCTCGGAATTAACTTTTTGTTTTTCTTTTGATTATATACTTTCCCTATATCGGTTCTCTCTTGTTTAGGTTGAGACGATGATTATATTTTGTATAATGAGCGTGACGTAATAATAAAAGTCATATTTAACTCGATTTTCAGTTTTTTTTGTCAGTTTTACTTCCTGGGTAAACTGTAATTAAAAAGTAATTGTTACGTCGTTATTATTACATTCTGACTAACAAGACGAAATAACTCACAGATTCAAATATGCATTACTCTTGAATTATCCATACATTATCTCCAAAAATAGAAAACATAGAAAAATAACAATTCAATTTGCCAATGGACACCTCAAATATGTCTTAAATTGAAAAAACATAAAGAATTAAATTCCCAAAGATTTACATTGTAGATAATTGATCATCAGAGAGTACATCATCTCGAAAAGGCACATTGATTCGATAAGTGCAGGTCAGTCCTGAGTTTGTTCCCTTATTTTCAGGACGATTGCTCCTGGCATTATCCCGATTCTTCCTGGGCTCCTCCTTTTCCTTCAGAGGAGAGGTGCCCTCCGCCTTCCTGCTTTTCCTCCTCTTCGTCCTGGTCTCCCTCTCCACCTCCTCCGCATCACTAGAGTCCCTCTCCAAATCCCTGGCGAGTCTTCTCTTGCTGGTGGACCTCAAGGTCTTCACATGTTCTAGAGCCCCTGGACTTTTCTTCCCCTTAGCCACTCGGTCCACAGATCTCGATAAGCCCTGAATCTCCTCCTTCCTCGCACTTTTACGGGTGTTAGTATTGTTGAGAACTGGACTGACAGTAGTGTCCTTGGCACTGGTCTCCCTCCTCCTGGAGGAATCCTGAGACACGTCCTTCCTGAAGGACATCTCCATGGAGGAAGGAATCGAGGACTCCTGGGTGTTACCAGCGCTGTACACAGGGGTTTCGTCCTTCAGGGTAATCCTTTCCCCAGTCCAGTAGCACAGAGGAGGCAGGATCCTCCTCCCCCTGGAGCTCGTGGGGACTCCAATCATATCAATACTCGTGTTGTGATCATTCTCCTTCTCAGGGCTGGTCTCTTCTACCAATTTCCTCCATTTCTCGCAGAACTGGTTGATCCTACCGGGGCACCCCTTGAGGCACATCTTCTGGATCTCCTTGGGAACCGTGTGCTTCGTATCGCTAAGCTCCCCAATCAGCTGATAGAACTCATGCCCTTCGGTCTCTATAACCTGGGGGCTCACTCGTTTAACGACAAAATCTGTGGAGAATCTCCTGCTCGCAATGTGTCCAGCCTCGTTGAGGAGCTTCCCCTCGAAAATGAGGCCGTAATTACTTCCTGGTCTCTTCAGGAGTTTGGGGACCCACGCTGTGAGGGGCTTTGGGTTTGAATCTGTTCCAAATTCCCCCTTTTTCGTCGATTCTCTGCTTTTTCTCGATTTCTTCTCCTCCAACTCCACTCTCAAATTCTTCTCCTCAACTTCTCCAGACGTGACCTTCAGAGCATTGTCCTTGGAGGTTTCTTTAATGGAACCTTCAGAAACCGATCGCACTGGAGCCTGGGGAAGTATTATGTTCACCTTCTCAACATTCACAACAGTCGGTTTCTTCTTTTTCTTCTCTGGGGAAGTCCTCTCCAGGGATATTCTATCAATTTCTTCGTTAACTTTCTGGGAGGCATCCTCATCATCACGAGAAGGCCCAGGGGTCATTTGGTTCTCTTTGTTCTCACCAGGCTCTTCCTGCCTCACCTCCTCTTTCTTTTTCTCAGGAATAGTTCGTGAATTCCTGTGATTTCCTTCCAGGAAACATTGCTTGATGCAACCATCCGGGGACTTGAGGACTTTGGCATTGGCCTCTTGGAGAATCTGCCTTTTGACCTCAGCCCTTTGGAAATCGTCCCCGAATTCGTCCTCTGTAAAACTCACACTGGAGTCGTAATTGGCAGGTTGGAGTCCTCGAGTCTTCAAAGGGGTATGTTCCCTGGGTCTCAGGAAGCGATGGGACTTGGAAGGCCTTCGTTCGTCCTCAGTCAGGCTTACACATGAGTCGTAGTTGACGAGAGGCTGTTGAGGCACTTTCCACGTCTTCCTCTGAGATTTTGACTCACTGCCTTTAGAAGAAGGTTGAGGACACGAGAACTTGTTCATTGGAGCGATCTCGTCTTCATTCTGAATGGCAGTCGACTCGGGGTGTCGCCTCTTCTCCGTTGACCTCAGCTGGTCCAGGGGCTTCTCTTGGTGCTTCAAAGGCACTTTCAGTCGACGGTCATTCTCGACGGAGACCTCCCCACCATCGGAACTGTCGTAATCCTCTCGTGACAGCTTTCTCCTCAAAAAAGAGTTTCGTTTTTGGTGATGAGTCTCTTGGACATCTTGGGGTGGCATGGATTTCTGAATGTTGGGCGTCGTTTGGGGCTGAACTACAGTTTCTTGGCGGATACATGTCTCCGGGGGCTGTTGACCTAGAGGATCGATTCCGTCGTCTGGCTGGTACGATACGACGTATTTCAGGCAATCAAACATCTCGATCATCTTGTCGATGTACGTTATAGAGCACTTTCTGCTTGTCAGGTTCTCCAAAATGATCTTGAGTTTGTCCTCGTGGATTATGTCCCTGAGAGACGTCATGGACAGCCTTCCAAAGGATGGAGTCACTGAAACTGCTGAGCTGTTCATCTGCTGGGATCTTATCTTCTCCATGAAATTTTCGATCGTGTCGTTGGGTTCCTCCAGGTAGCCCTTGGAATTCGATACTTTCGAACAACAACAGCTTTTATTGTGTTCATCCTGTATCGAGGGATTCCTGATATCTGCTAATCCTCCAGGAGGCCCTCTACTGAAATCGAGACCTCTTCTGGTGGTGAAGGGTATTTTATTCTCTTGTATTCCCTCAAGGGATCGATCTTGTCTGTTGGAATTCAGTTGCCTCCTAGGACTCAATTGATTGCTCTCCCTAAGGATTTCCTCAGGCCTTTTGTCCATTCGGTTTTTCATTGAAAAACTTTTCTTAGGGCTCCTCTGAATATTATCCTCGGGATCCCCAGTGGCTCTAGTTGATGCCAGTCGTTTCCGCGCTTTACGAAAATCAGTGACATCAGTGATCTCACTCTTCAGGTCGTCATCACTATCAGTGATTGGTGTTGGCCAGCGAAAATTCTCGTTACACCCCCCAACGATGAAATTACTCCACACTTGATAGACGTTCTCCCAATCGTCAGGGAATCCATTGTAGAATTTCCCTCTGATAAATTCTGGGAGTTCGCGTCTCTCATCGAAGATATTCCCACGGAGGTGGTAGATGTGATTGAAGACAGATTGAACCGAGACTGACGTCAGTCTCCGGATAACTGGTTTACTTCGAGCGATTTTTCCACACTCCAGGGTGCCCTTGATGATGAGCTGGCCCTTGTCGTTGAGAACTGGCCTCCATTTAGAGAAGATTCTGTCTGGTTTCACCTCGACATCAGGTCGGTCTCGGCAGTTCTCCTTCTCGAATTCTATCCTGGAGATGTCTTTTTCCGAGGATGAGCACTTTATCGAGGAGATGACACTCTGGGCGGATCCGTGTTCCATCCCCAAACCCTGGAGTGGGATTTTCGAGTGAGATCTTGCCAAGGAATTCCTCCTGGAGGAGTGGGCGAGAATTCCGATGCTCTTGGGTGGAGGCATCAGTGCTTTCTCCTGTTGGAAATTTGCGGAGAACCTTTTGACGCTTGAGGTTGTCATTCCCTGGGGTAGCTTCAGGGGATTTGAACGATTCTGGATCATTTTTTGCATATCCCTGCTCGAGGCCAGGACATCACTCCCCAGTTGAGACGACTGTGAGGAAAATCCTGGGCAGCTCGTGTCCAGGGGATCCCCAGCGATGCTGGAAACACTAGGCCACGTCGGCTCCGAGGGATTCTCACAGGATTTTTTCTGCTGCATCATCAGGATCTTCAGCGTTCGCTCCAGTTTCTTGTAACGCTCTTCCATCTGGAGGTTTCCGTACGTGTTCTCACTGGGAGTCGACATCGTAGCACTAGGGGATCAACCTCTAGCATTTGTAGGCGGTGATGAAATCTTCTAGAGGCTGTACAACAACTTATTGACATTTTTATAAAAACATTTAAATATAATCAAGGACATATCGGAGTTCTTTTGTCTCCATGCGCAATATAAAGATCTTTAATTAATTTTAATTAATTAATCTAGGACAAATGGGGCAAAATGGACAGGCGGGGTAAAATGGACGGCATGAAAATCCGGAGGTTTTTCACGAATATCTCCGAATCTAGCAGATATCGGAGAATTTTTATAAGAATCTTTTTTGTAGAGCGAAACGAAACTTACAAAAAAGATTCGATGAAAATTTCGCTATCTAGCATCGCCTGAGAGATATCCAATGAAAACTGATTTGATAAATCCTCTCAACGATGTTGCATTATTCATCTGCAAATGAAATTGCGACAACAATCCGCATCCATTCCATGGCATTATTCAAAACTGGTGTCCATATTCCCCCATGATCCCCTATTAATGCAATTAATTTTAATCTATTAAGTTACGGGTGATTAAAACACAATCCTAACCTCAAAAAATAAACATTTGGGATGACAACAGGAGTTCAATAATTCTGTTCTATTGTGAGTATTTCCATATGTACAGAATTATCACTGGATAAGCCTAAAGTACTTGAAATGTATAAAAAAATGTACTCACGTTTAATTGCCCTCTCAAGTCAGAGTTATTTATCACGAATTTCCAGTAATTTTCCCGTTCCAACCGTTTTGACATGAAAACGGCGGGAAATCATTGAGTCGATCAACCACTCGGCTGTTTCCGTGCCAATTCAAATATCCGAACAACAACGACAAATTCAAATTGGGTAAAATGAAAGACATAACTCCAAGTGCAATTATTCATTATTTAATGTATATATCACCCATCCAAGCTGCATAAGTCTTGTACCTCACGATTATAAAGATTTTTTTGTGTTTAAATTGGTTGTTGAAGTCTAGTTGCAACACGAGGCGCGTTATATCGATATTTTTATTTCTGAAAACACCGTCGGGAAGCTTTCCATGCAGACTCTTGCCTCCCCCTTATTTTTTTATTTATCAAGAGTTTTTATTGTGTGAGTGGAGCCGAAAGAATTGTTTAGTGACGGGGAAAAAATTGGTGTTTTCCGGAATTGAGTGGAGAGAATGCGATAATTATCCTGGAATCCATAAAATCTACCGATAAAACGAAAAATCGTAATGTAAGATATCGATAATTAATGCACGGACAAATAAATTAATAATAAAAATATAATGTATAATAAAAATTGGAGGAAAATTGAGAGAAAAACTGACGATTTCTTTTTGATTCACTCAACTCAATTCCATTTTCCCCTCTAACAAGCGAGTGCCATTTTCTCTCAATGTTATTTTTTCCATAAATTCTCCATCATACGTAATAACACGAAGGACAAAATACTGAGTAATCTTTCCAAGTATTCAACAATAAATCCCAATAATTCGAGCTGCACTAATGTGATAATAAAATCTCTGTCGACTGTCAGATAATTGATAAAGCTTGGTGTAATCGCAAGCAATTATTTAACTGCCCAATAATTCAGGAATTAACTCTAATAATTGAAAATTAATAAAGCACAAGTAACACTGATCCTCTGAACTATTAATTCCAACTTTATCATCAGTAAACTCTTCATCTGAAGTATAGACACCAGAATATTGCCACTCGACATCCTAGAATATTAGAATGATAAATTTCTAAATCAGGGCATAAGATTAATTTTTAATTCTCCCTTTCAATTCTCTCCCACCCCAGATAATTCATTCTCAAAATAATTATTTCCTGGAGATTTAAAATAATCACCAGCCCGCGATGACGACAGCAAAACCGATTACAACAGTTTCCCTTTTGGTCATTAAAATCCATGAAAAATCAATTTTTCACCTCGAAAAAGCCCCCCCCACCCCATTCATCCTTTAAATAGTCATTACACAGTCTATGATGCATAAAATACTGACAATATACTCCGTAAATCCGTCTAACACGATTTTAAATATTTCATAATAATTTGTATCTCCGTTACTCTCGACCTTGTGGTGTTTATTACCGCTACAGACATCACTAATTAATTGCCAAGGCTGAATTACATAATTAGCCACTGTGCTACAAATTACATACGAGGAAAATGTTATCTGGATCACTCAGTATTCATATTAAAGATTCTATTTAAATTGAAAATTTTCAATATGGAGAATTATTTGTTTTTTTTTTCTGTTCAGCCTGATTTAACAACTAAAACACAGAGTCTGCTCACGCAAGCGACATTATCGGTATAATTACGAGTTTATTAATTTTTTTTAGACGTGTGAGGTGCGTCGTTGTACTCGCCCTGCTGCTGGCCCTTTTGATTTCTGTCCTTGTAGTCCTGATCTCGACGCTGACGTCCCTGTCCTCGGAATTTACGATTACCACTGTCTCGGTAGTAATTACCACCGTTGTGATATCCACGTTGGGAACGGTACATTGGGGGATAGCATGGGGCCTCATTTTTCATGCTGCCGATTCTCAATTCTGGCAGGACTATGCAGGACATGTCACCATCGGTACCTTCGTCCTCCAGACGATTCCGACGCTGATAGTGCGCTGGGTGGTGCTCGTAACTAGGACAATTAGTTTTTCAATTTTTATGCAATTTTTCAGGTGTTTTTGGGGCCAGGAGCAATCACTATGTCCTGAGAAATTGAAATTATAAATCATTTATGGATGTTACATTTTTTCGTATCCAGTTTTTAGGCGATATCTCGAAATGGAAGGGAGATAACGAAATTTTGATAAAAACCATTTTTATAGAAAAATGTGAGAGCTATAAAAAAGGTATCAATGAAAATATCGCTATTTCCCTTCAATTCCACGTTATTCAGTAAAAACAATGCTCGAAAAAATTGCACCTGGCCCAATTCACATGAAATTTAATTCCATTTATCGAATAGTTGTTTAATAGTTAATTATTTAATTTCTAGTCACCTGCCACGACCTCTCGACGTATTCCTCCAGTAGCTCTCTCCCTCGAGAGGTGGAAACTTGTAGGGATGGCGATTGGACTGTCCAGGATCGCCAGAAGCCCCTCGACTATGATGAGGATTTTCATTGGCACGACCTCGTCCATGTCCACTCCTGTTTCCACTTTTCGCAGATGCCGTCTTCATCGAGGCGATTTCCCTCTGCTGATCGGCATTTTCACGCCTGAGACGTTTAACCAAGGCCTCAGCATCAACAAGACGAGTTGCCAAATCATTGTGGACTTCCTGGGTGTCCCCCACCTGAATCCCCACGTCTGAGACAGTTTGCTCCTTTCGTTGATCAGTTTTCTCCAATTCTCTGGGGAAAATTTAACGTCAGGTAGATGATCCTCGTGGGGTGATGCTCTTACTCACATTTTTTGCTCGTCTATGACCTCCTGGAGATGCTGATTGTGCTTCTTCGTCTCGTTGAATGATACCCTCAGTTCCTCCAGATCTCGTTCAAGTAATTCAATCTGTAGAGGAGTAACATTCACACTAACTGGGCTTCCCTGCATTCAAATACACAAATGTCTAACAACGACATTGCACGGTTAATCAGTTATCGAAGGAAAGAAAGTCAATGAGTGATTATTCATTTCGTTTCAGCACTTCAATACTGAAATTATTAACATCTACCTTCGATTTCACGAACCCATTTGAATTGTCCTCTGGTGATGATGGACTTGATGCACAGGCGGTGCCTTTTGTGAAAACCAATTGGAACTGTAAATCTACGGTATGAATAAAAAGTATTATTTTATTATTTCACATTGACTAAACTGAGAACTAAATTCATGAAAAGATTTTATAATTCAATTGAAGTTTAATTATTCGATAAATCTAGGGTTTCTTTGCGGATTCGGTTGGCAGTCAGAGCTTTGAAGAAGGACCTCGAACTAATAGGTTAATTAGTCATTTTTTTTAGGAAGGGGGAAGAGAATGTACCTCTATTTCGTTGTCGTAGTATTTCCACCTCTTGGTGCAGCGCAATTAGAGTCGCCTGGTGCTGTTCCTGGAGAAACTTCATGTTCTGCTCTAACAGTGCAGCACGATCAGTCATACCCTGGGCCCTGATTTGTCCCTCACTTCTTGCTGGTAATGTGACTAATTCACTCGCTGGCTTTTTTCCCTATTCCAACAAATCAATTCAATACTCAAGTGACTAGAAGCCAATTGACTTCTCCAACAAAGTAAACACATTTTCCGTAATATCTCTGAAATTGAGAGAGATACAGCAATTTTCGTAATAACCTTTTCTTTAGTACTCTGTTAGCTCAATAAAAAATGTTTTATCAAAAATTTCATTATCTCTCTTAGCTTCGGAGATATTCCGGAAAATCCAGCCGATCCCCTGGAATTTAACCCCTCTGAGGTAACCCTCCCCCACCCTCATTACCCAGTAAAATCATGAGTCACTGACCTGAGTGAATGGCACCGTGGGGAGCTTGACGAGAACCTTGGAAGTCATGCTGACGAAGTCGCTGCTCCTGGAAGGCAAAAAATTGAGGGGAGAAATGGAAAATTCACCCCAAGTGGCATGAAACTGGGAAATAAAAATTGCGTCAGCGCAAAAATTGAGTCAGATCAGCCCTTAAATCAGGCTCACTAATCCACAATAATCAACCGACGAAATATTCACCGGGTAAATAATAATTGGATCGTATAATTGGCGCGATAAAACACACATACGCTATTAAAAATGGCAAATTAATGCTTACGCAGTTTGACGGATGAGACCGGAACTCGTTGAAATTGAGCGATGGTCGAGGGGGTTGAGACGTGGTTTTTTGATAGTGGTATCAACGCCCTCACCAGCTCTCACCCTCGGCACCGGAGCTTCCACACCCGGCAGAAGACGAATTTGTCGCGTAATTTTTGGGAATTTCCCGGGTAATTTGTGGGGGTGAACGCGCCGCGAAATTTCGCGGATTGCTTCTGGGGTTGAAGCAACGGGGAAAATTGTTGGGTGGTTTTCACCGAATTGAGGGATGCCGGGTGGTAGTATTGATCCACCTGAGGATGGAGGGGCGGTCATTTTGCTATTGTAGTACCGACCGCACCTTTTTGTCGGGAATATACACCTGTGCGCATCCCGGGGAGGGGTACCAGGGGTTCGACGACCGGTCACTATCAAAATGTGGGGTGCAAACTCCTTTTCGGGGGTTGTTTGAATTTATCAATGAACATTCCCTCGTGGCTGGATTTTTATTTTTTTTTCAACACTGAGTACTCAATTTTATGAGGGAGGGAGTGTTTTTGGAGGGGAAAAATTTCTGGGGGTGGAAAAAGGGGGGGTGAATCAACCCCTTTATGACATTTAATATATAAAAACTATAATCATTATTATATAGTTATTATTTTTTCTCTGCCTATAGAATAAATTTATTATATATTAAAGAATAAATTCAAATCGAGGGATGAAAGGGAGGGAAAACTTTTTTATCGATCGATCCAGTACGTGATGTTTACATCCCCTCGATTATTTCGGTGCCCCAAACAAACTTTTATTCGTCGGTATTCGTAGTAATAATCACAACGTACCGACGATTTTTCTACGGATATACAAATTACGTTTTTTATATAAATAAATGTACAATGGTATGTGATGGACGCGAGGGATGTCCATGATATGTAAAAAGTGAAATAATCGTTCGAAAAAAAATTCTAACCAATAACCTGGACATGTCATCTGTCGTTAAACCCATGAAATTCGACTACCTGACGAACAAGGGGGTGGAAAAATTCATCTTCTCGGACGATGACGATAATGATTTTGATTTCAAGGTGAAATCCTAATGAAATTTTATTTTTTCTCAACACCAGAAAATTGAAGAGAGATTTTTTAAAAATTTTCTTCTCTCTCAGTTGAAATTTCTAATTTTATCAATTACAGATCAATTTTTTTTTCACTAATATCTCGATGTCCAGGAAACATAGGACTGAATTTTTTGTATTAATTAATATTTTAATTACAGTACGTCCCACCGGAGCAGTTCAAGCACATCCTGAAGGATGTCCGTCGTCAGAGATCCCAGAGGAACGATGAAAAACTCTGGTCAGACTTCGTGACCCAGAGAATCCCCTTGGAACCCCTGAAACATCCCCTGAAGTCCGACCTCTCGGACATAAACCTAGAGAGTTTTCCCCCAGTGGCAGAGACGCAGAGGATCTCTAAATCCACAAGGAAATCTCGAGTGCCAGCCCAGGAGTCCAAAGACCTCAGCAGAAGGAGCAGCATAACATTCGTCTCGCAAGACGACGATGACGACGACGTGTCAACCCTGGAGAGATCGCCAGTGTCAAAATTGGATGTCAAATCCAAGCACTCGAGCTCCGAGAGCACCATAAAGTCCACCCACAGGAAGAATCGACTCCTTCGAAAAGTGAATCGTCTCGAGTGCAATTCGAGCCCTGACCTGAGCTCCCAGTACGAATCCGGAGATGACGAGGAATTCCTGGAGGTTCAGCCACATCCAGTGATTGCCCAGAAGATCCTAGGGCTTCAGGGGAGGATCTCAGAGATCCTGGATGATATCTCCTACAGACTCTGCAGAATCCCTCGACCTGATGGAGAGAATGACCTCAAGAGGAGGCAGAAACGACTGGTCGAATTTGGGATTCGATTCTCCAGGAATTATCTCTACGAGCTTGGAAGACAGGTGGGGGACATTCAGAAGCACCTCAAGGCTGTCCTTGAGGGAAAAGGCAGGAGGGGAACTATTCTTCATATGCAAGCCCTTGAGCAGAAACTGTGCGCCTCCCATCAGCTTCTCGTCTGTGCTCTCAATGCTTACTGCAATCACATCCCCAGTTCTGTACTTGAGGAATATCCTGGAAAGCTCAAGGAGATTCTTGGAGTCGTTGTTGAATTAAAGGACGCCTGTGGAAAGATTAACATCACTGCTGATGGTGTTGGAGGCGGAGACACTGGCTCTCAAGGTTTGGTGAGTTCAGAATAGATTATTTTCAATTCTAGAATCTTTTACTTCTAAGTAACTATTCAAATGGAATTATTCATGATGGAATCGTTGTTACAGGGTAACGACTTGCAGAGCAGATGCTATGCAATCCTCTCAAAACTTCGGCTGCACTCAGACAGTGAATCTCAATTATTCAGTGCTCGACAGTCAGTAGTAACAGGACCTTTTGGTTCTAACGTAAAGAGACAGAATGGCTTGAAGGGCTTTCCTAATCGTTTGAGCATGTACAGCATGGATTCCAAATGTCCAAAGACCCAGAGGCAACGTAGACCTGGTAAATAAAATACACGGGATTGATGAATTATTAATACAGTTGTCTGACACGTCTGTTTATAAACAGTTACAGTTGGAGTTTGTCCAAAAGATAGAGGTATTCCTAGAGTGTCTCTAAATAATCCCCCACCAACTCCTGAGCAGATCTACACTAATTCCGTTGGTCGAAAATCGTCAAAGGAATCCACGAGGAAGAGGAGTCATGGGGTTCATGGAGATGACATTAAAACAATGATGGATATAATTGCACGTGAAGCGGAAACGGCTAGAAATAGCAGTGATCTTGGTAATGTGGATAATTTTGGAATGATGAATCAGGGGAGTCGGTGTGTGTCAAGGAAATTTCACCCTGTTACATCTAATGAGAGCAAGATTAGCATCAGGAGGCGTGCCAAAAATTTGGGAAAGAATTCCAAGACTTCCGTTAAAACGAGCAAAACCAGCGTCAATGGAATTGACGAGGGACACGGTGCGGATGAACGACTGGCTAATTTGGTTCCTGTTATTGCTGATCTCATGAGTTTGGTGGCGAACAAGGTGAGTACACATTTTTCTGGGGAATTTATACGTCATTCTTGCGAATGAGTATCCAAAATACCTTTCGCAGTTTTGGACGGACCAAAATAGGAATTTTTAGATGTTCAGTCATCGAATTTAACGATTCAGCTGTATATTTTATTTTGATTACTCCTTTTTCAGCGGAATAATGGAGAGAAAAAGTCTGAGTCATCGATGACAAGTTTACTGGAGATTATAAATAATTGTCAACAATCGAATAGTAATTGTACCACGAGGTCTAAAACCAATGGTCGAGCCTCTGATTCCAGGTAATTGGAGCTATTTGAATTAATGAAACTCGCATTTTCTTCTATTTAATCTGATAAAATTCATTCCAGATTATCTGATGCTCGCACAGGCCCTGAGAACATGCAGTTGATCTGCCTGTCCCAGAATGACGAAACCACGTCAAAATATATGGATGCATCTTGTCAAGTGACTCAGGAAAATTCAAGACTGATTGAGAGAAAAGACTGCGGCTTGACTGAGCTGATTGTGTCTGACAGATCGTCTCAGGTGCTGATGAAGTACAGGGATGAGTACAACGCCTCATCCCGATCTAGTCCAATGTACACGAGCAATAGTCCCAACAAACCCTGGGAGGTTGTCGCCTGGTGAGATATCAAATCATCCCCTCATATTTTTAACCCACTCTAATCACTCCAATCATCTCATTACAGGATTGCCGATAAATTAGTCGACGAATTGATAGTCAATATCTCCAAAGAGCTCCAGATTGATGACATAATTAAAAAACTTTTTGAATTGGAATTCTTGGAATTTTAGAGGATTAAATATATCATTTTTCTCGATGATAGAGTCATTTCGATAAATCTATACTTGAGGAATAAAGGGAGTGGATGAAAGATGACATGAGTTTATCGATATTATCCTCTATTATTGGCAGCAAAAAAAATTAGATGGATAATTTGAGTTTTTGTTGTGATAAATGATTTATTTATTTTTATTCTGCTGTATCAAGTGATCTTGGCAGCCTCCAAACAGCTTCCAGAGATGGAGCCACACAATTCCTCAGGTATTTCCAATGATAATTATGATTTTCTACGCAAGGTCAAGCCAGGTCTCAGTTGAGTTTTTGGGGGCAGATTTTCCAAGAATTAAGCACCCATACTTTTATGGTACGTATGAATAGTACGTGATCCTCGATGCGTGCACAGTGCAAGTGAAATGCAAATGCAAAATGCCGATTGGGATAAATTCAATTGCACTGGAGAGAAATAAATCGCAGTAATAAATCAGACGTAATACGTAAGTAAACAGTTTTTTTAATTTGGTATTTCATCAATGCAGAGTCCACGTGAAAGGTAGACAACTCTACTCTTCAGTGGAATTCCATCGATCGGATTTTTCCGCTCAATTTTGTTGATTGAAGATTTTTACTCATAAATAAACATAAATAAACAATTGTGTAATCTAGGAATAAATTTACATTTTAATCTATTTTTTACACTAAGAATTATATTTAAAATATAGGAAATTGATTTAGTGCCAAAACAATTGAGGATTTTCTTTTTTTTTAATTATTAAAATTCTGTATCACCATTTCTGGAATTCAAAGGTAATTCAGAGTTTTTATTCGAGTTGAATGGCAATGGAAGTTATAAATACCGAAGTGCAATAGAAAATTGATTAGCATTCGATTTCTGTTTTAATTAACTTTTAAACTTGTCCCTGATCTCAAGATTTCGATTTTCCTTTCGACTTATGTGAAAATCAAAAAGTGTAGATTGAATAAAATTACCTGTTTGAATTACATAATGACTTGTAATTTATCTTCAATGTGGGATAGATGCGTGATTAAATGTCTTATCGGCCCTCGTGTATCTGACATTGAAATTTGTATCAACACGTCGTGATTCCCCCATTCTTTTTCATTGACCTCGTGCCTTTCATGAAAAGAAATAGCTGATTAGCTGACAGCGTGAGTGAAGTAATTTGCAGTTATTGCGGTCTGTGGGGAATGAGTCTGTGGTAGTTAATCAGCACTTGGTCAACACAGAAGTCATCATCGAAGATCCCTGGGGTACATAAATGACTGAGTGATCGGTTATTTCGAGGGAGTCATGAAACGTCGGAATAATATTGAAGTTACGAATATAATTATCTCGGTAAATTCAAAGTAATTCACTTTGGAGGGAACTGCGATTGGATATTTTCTCGGATATTGCGTCATCGCAGACGTACGTGGGGAATAATTAGTGAAATCTCACTAAGAACAACGTATGAAATTATCAATCTGGATATCACGAGTGATAATTGCGCTATCAATTGACCTGAATTGAACATCTCCTTTCAGAAAAATCATGGCAGTTATTTACCTGGGGATTGTGATGCTCCTGATGACCCAGGCAGATGCCCAGCTCTTCGATCCATCCCTGAATGCAACTGGAGTCGAGCTCCACGTGGGTGACACAATTGTCATTCCATTCTCTCTGCTGATACCAGAAAGCTATCAAGGTGTTCTCAGTATGGTTGGAAGAAGCTCAGACCCCAACATCGGAAAAGTAGAAGTTCCTTGGGCTGCAGCACCTGAAGGAACTCGTTGGAACGACTCCATCAGAGTCAAGGGAATATTCCTCGGACGAACTGATATCGAAGTCGATGTCTTGAACGACAATGATGTGAGTCTTCCCCATTAATTCCATTTCTCTAGTCTCTGGGATTCTGCATAAAATATAAAATATCTAAATGAACTCCAATGATATGAAATTGTGTGACCGAAGATCGATATTTTTTCAAAGTTCTTGTGGAATTAGCTTAAGGGAATTGTCCCAGAATCCCCTGAATTCTCTGAAGATGAGATTGAGAATTCTTTAATTATTCTGATTATTAATTCCAGGGAATAATTGCAAGGGAAAAATTAATGGTAACAGTGACACGTCCCGAGCGTGTAATCGACACTTTATTCACAGTCAGCGTAGCAACACTAGTTTCAATCCTCTACATAAATTTTGGCTGTGCTATGGATTGGTCTGTGTGCAGAGAGACCCTGAGCCGGCCGATTGGTCCACTAATCGGTGGAGTCTGCCAATTTCTCCTAATGCCACTCGTTAGTAATTATAAATGATCCTAATTAATCTCCTGAATTAATGCAACCGAGTCGTCATGCATCTGACAAATATTCACGACTGGAATTTATCGGAGTAATTTATATTTGTTTGTTTACAGCTGGCGTTTGGCATTGGACGAGTCCTATTTCCTGATAATCCGGAGATGCAAATTGGAATTTTTTTCACGGGCATAAGTCCAAGTGGTGGTGCATCGAATATTTGGACAGTTCTGTTGGAAGGAAATCTCAATCTCTCTATTGCTATGACGAGCTTATCAACATTGGCTTCCTTTGGTAACTAATAAACAATTGATTAATCTGAGAAATCTCCACCTTTAGTATGAGAGATATTTCAGTAATATCTTTTGCTATTTCACTAGTGACTTTGGGTGGTATATTCTGCGTGTTTTAAAAAATGTCATTAAATTAATTTCGTTAATTGTCCTCTGGTCATTAGCAACAATGCCTTTCTGGATTTTCACCCTGGGAAAATACATCTTCGACAGCGGAAATCTCGTAGTTCCCTACAAAAGAATAGCGTATATAGCAGTTGGTCTCGTGCTACCCCTGGGTGTGGGGTACTTTATCCAGAAAAAATTCCCGAGATTATCGAGTGTAATGGTGCGAATAATGAAGCCCTTCTCCGTTGTGCTGATTCTCTTCATTGTTACATTCGCTATCTTCACGAATTTGTACCTCTTTGAGCTGTTCTCCTTCCAGGTAATTGATAGATTTCTCTTCGTTGTGGTTTTAGTGATGATAATATTTTTGTTATTGCAGATCGTGTTGTCAGGAATGGGATTACCCTGGCTCGGTTTTATTTGCGGTTGGTTAGCCATGATGATATGCCGCCAACCACGAGCCGATGTTCGAGCTATTGCCATTGAGACTGGCATTCAAAATACTGGAATCGCTATTTTTCTACTGCGATTCAGCTTGAAGCAGCCAGCAGCTGATCTAACGACAGGTAATGGAATCCACAATAAATTAAATTATGATATTGTTAATTGGGGATGATTGCTTGCAGTTATTCCAGTTGCCTGCTCGATGATGACACCTCTTCCTCTGGGGATTCTCTGGCTGATTAAACTTGTTGTCAATCGTCGAAAAAAAAAGTACGTTCCATCCATGGAGAAACTCCAAAGCGATGTACCTCTAGCCACTACTCCCTCGGTTATTTCTGATTAAGGTAGACAGAGAGTTTCTGAGTTGAAGACATTTTGTGATCACTGCTAGCTCTTTTTAGAAAGTGAATTGTAGAAAAATTGTTATTCAAATATTTTTAAATATCTTGAAATCTCATAGATATAGCGAAATATTTGTTATAACCTTTTTTGTAGCTCTCATTGTACTCCACAAAAAAGATTCCAGAAAAGAATCTCCATCTCTGTTAGATTCAGAGATATTGACTGTTGAATTACTTCTTTGATTGATGATTCGAATGAGTTTGTGATCACAAATTGTCTCGATGTTTTTAGCGGATCAGAAACTGTCTGTCTCAATGAAATCCGAGCATTCACTACTTAATTCATTATTTGAATCTACAATTATTTTTCCCTTGCTCAAATTGAGGAATTTATTGTTTATTATTCTCTGTGATTGGAGAGTTCAATATTTATTAAACCTAGATGAGTCTGAGATGGGCTACCCAGCGTTGAACGTTGAACAAACCTGTCATTTTTGTATAAAGAGATATATATTACAAACATTTGTTTAAATATTCAACGAAAAATATTCAATAGAGAACATTTTTATTTTAGAAACCCCTGACAACTCCCACCTGTTAAAATATCCAGACGAATATTGATTATTCCTAAATTATATATTTACGCCTTATTTATTTATTCCACAAATTATGAAAGTACTTAGATATTCTTAGAAATTATGAATACAAAGTATTTTCATCATGTGAATTTGCAATTGAATATTTTTCGTTGAATATTGAAACCAGTGTGATAAACCCAGTCTTAAACTGTTATTACCCCTGATAAAAAATCGTAAACAATTTCACTACCTCCCCCTCACCAAGTGATTTAATTTGTTGTTTAATTATTCGAATTATCTCCGAGCGAATTCATCCAACGAATTACTCAATCGTGTGCCAGTAATTCTGTAATTACCCCAATGTGTCATCGAAATACGTAAAATTGAAACAGTTTTGTTAAAGATAAAATTTTTATATAAACTTTATATAAAGATCAAAGTCTTATTATTCTCCATAAATCCTTCTCCCCGTGTTTATTCGGAGCTTCAAATACCGTGCACTCCGTTTATACAAGTAACAATTTGCAGAAACAATAATGACTTTCCAATCGAGTGGAAATATTCTGGTGGATTTATTTACGATACGTTATGTAAATTCGAAAATCCACTGGGATATTTTTAGGATTGCAGGAGATGACTTGACGCGTAACGAGGTATTCTCAATTGTTAATAACGACACGTGTCAGATGTTTGATAAAAAGTTCATGTCATGCCTCTAGGGGCTTTTATGAATAAATAATGGGCGATGAGCCAGAGAAAATGAGAGATTTCGGTGGTAATAATGCAACTGCTGGACAGTTGGAAGGCTAACGAACTTGTCAGATGCTTTTTGCTCTTCTGGGTGATGAGCAACAACTGATGGGACTGATGAATCAGACAGAATGTTATTCCATCAGTTTAAATTCGGTTTACATAATTTCTATCGCTAGAAATTTATCGAGAAAAAGATCAATCAGAAATTTCAATTTTTGGATTTGATTGAAGAACTTGAATTTGATTGAAAAATCGGGGGGATACTTTGAAAAATATGAAAATTGTGGAAGCAATCGAGAGATAACAAGAGAATAAAATGAAATAGAGAAATTTGAATTTAGTAACGCATGGCTTTCAGAAAAAATGCACTGTTTTATTTGGAAAAATGGGAAAAAATGATTTTGGCACGGATTTTCATACCGATGAGACAGTTGTTGGGGTGTTACATTAAAGATATGTGTGATAGCCCTGGGACGAGGCGTCGACGATTCAAATGTACCGTGAAACCACTGGCAATTCATAGAGACTGTGTCTCCATTTATTCTGCACCGGTATTAGCTCTTGAAGATGTAATCGCCAACGTCTAGCGATTCTATATCCATCTAATACTGGATCTTATATACTTGTCATTGAGATCATAATGGAGGATAACTCGGTATCCACGTGGACAGTCATTTATCCAATGACTCGATGATTAATTTAACATCAAAGACTACTGAAAAATTCAACGAGAATACAGACGTTTTCACTGCTGCTCTCATTTTCCATTGCATTAGCAAAATTGCAAAACTGTCTGGCACATGACCTGGAATAAATAATTCACCTGAATTCACTGAATCCCAGGGGAATAAAGGGATAAAAATGAAGATGCTTTGATGATATTTTTACCTACTCTAGTTGCAACAGGTGGAGTTTCTAAACTGTGAAGGCGGAATAGAGTAAGAGTTGTAATGGATTGCATGATGTTTTAACTCGAATTGTCCGGACTCTGTTTTTCCCCTTATATTCAAGAATGAGACTTGATATATATCTTTAAATTCACCAGTGCGTGAGCGTCCTTCTCTCCTCATTTGCCATACCAAAAGCCTTAGACGCGCGCACTTATAACATATTTCATTTTTCGTTGGGCTGTGTCACGAAAGATACTATTTTTGTGTACCCAAACCAACGAGACGAAATTTCTAGCTGGTTTTCCTACGATACGACAGTTCACCAGGGCCTTTATATCCTCCGGAGACAAACGTCTCTTCAGGTACTCTGTGTCCATCGTCAGAGGCATCAATATGGTAAGACATTATTGTCAATAACTGCCGGATCAATTAGTGGCCGATAGTGAATTGTGGCTAGTCGAAATCCCAAATATTTCTAAAGTTCTTACTATTATTTATGACCACTTGGCTGATCTCTCCGCGAAGATCTATGAGCTATCATGTTGAAGAAGTGATGTGTTACTTGCGGTGTACAAATAGATGTTTAATATCTATTCTATTTGGGATTTATCTGTACTCTTCCCCTCCCATTTTAATTTATTTTCCGCCATAAAAGAAATTTTAACTACTTGAAATCAGAGCATGAAATAAAATTTAATGCAATTCTACAATAAACGGACAATCGGTGGAGAATATCTCCAGAACTAGGAGAGATAATGAAATTTTTGTCAAGACGATTTTTGTAGAGTTGATCGAGATCTACAGAAATGATTTTTTCGAAAAAATCGGCATCTCGGTTAATTTTCGAGATATTTGAAGATTTGAGAGAATTGGCAATTGAATGCGGATGAATTGTCTTGATCTTGCGATTTCTGATTGATTGTTGATTTGATTGATCTGCTAGGAGGAAGACGAGCAGAAGGTGGCAGTGATGCGGAAGGCATTCCAGATGTTCGACACGACGAAGAGTGGATTCATTGACACCCTGAAGATCTCCACAATTCTCAATACAATGGGTCAACTCTTTGACGACGCTGATCTCAATGCCCTCATCGAGGAGAACGATCCGGATCACGTTGGCAAGGTAAATTTCGATGTCTTCTGCAAGATAGCTGGACGATTCCTCGAGGAGGAGGACGCCGAGGCTATGCAGGAGGAGCTCAAAGAGGCCTTTCGGCTCTACGATCGTGAGGGCAACGGTTACATAACAACAGCAACACTCAAAGAAATTCTTGCTGCTCTCGATGACAAACTCACGAGCTCCGATCTCGATGGCATCATCGCTGAAATTGATACCGACGGCTCTGGCACCGTTGACTTTGACGGTTCGTTGAGAATTCACCACGGTTCATCACTCATCTCTAATGAGGTGGCTTTTTTTAGACAAGTTATTATTACATATTTCCCTTCTAATTTCAGAGTTCATGGAGATGATGACCGGAGAGTAGCTGACATCTTCCAAGGAATACTTCATTCGACAAATTATCAATTGGCAATGGTGTCAATAAAATTGATCATATCCATCTAAAAGTGTCATTCGATTATGGAACTCATTGGAATTCAATTGGTCACTCAATTATTAATTATTATTGATTAAGCGATGAATAAATGAAATTTTTTATTGAAAAGCATTGATTTAAAAAAATTATTTCCATCTTTAGTGGATAAGTCAATGAAAAATAGAGTATTGCATTGAACAATTTATTAACTTCAAATATTACAACTCATTATTACAAATCCACAGTTAAAGAATTCAAAGAAGAGAGAATAATAAATCAAGTAACTGCAGGTTATTGGGTGTAGACATTGTCAACCTGGTCTACATGGTAAACCATGACACCAGTGACGAAGATGTTGGGTGCGTAGAGAGCACTCTTGGCGAGTGGTCTGTCCAGGGGCCATCCCAGGGGTTTGTTGTCGAGGGAGACAGCACCACCGATTATGGTGCTGATGTGTTTGCCCTGGTAGTATTTCTTCAGGTACTCAGCGTTGTGCTGGTAGTTATTGTAGACACCCTCAACGTTCTGCCCGTTCTCCTGGTAGACACCGAGGGGCACCTGCTGGTAGATTCCTTGGACTCCTTGTACTCCCTGTACTCCCTGCACTCCATGTACTCCACGTACTCCAGTCACTCCAGTTACTCCACTTACTCCAGTTACTCCACTTACTCCGGTTACTCCAGCTACTCCAGTTACTCCAGTCACTCCAGTTACTCCCTGGACACCCTCAACTCCCTGGACACCTGAGTAAACACCCTGGACTCCTTGAACTCCCTGGATGCCGTGTACTCCCTGGAGACCGTGAATGCCCTGATGGACACCGTGGCCATAGCCCATCTGTCCGATGCCTCCGGTCATTGAGTTCTGGTGAACCTGTTGGCCGTAGTACTGGTACTGCTCAGTGGGTACAACACCAGCCTGGTGCTGGTGGATTATCGCGGGGAAGGGATAGCTCGTGGGGTACTTCTTGTAGAGGTAGTTTCCGTAGTAGTACTTCAATTTCTCCACCTGTTGGCCAGTTAATCCAGTTTGTGGGTGGACGGGAACAACATCGACTACCTGTTGGATTCCACCAGGTCCGTGTCCCTGGATGACCTGTGGGTATTCGTTGACACCGACGACCTTGTAGTGGCTTGTCTGGTACGACTGGTAGTCTGGGGTTACAACTGGGCCGTATGGGATTTGTGTGGGTTCAGTAGTGGTGATGACAACGAGGATTTGAAGGGGAAGACCACCGTAGTGTCCCTTGGGGATGGATAATCTCGCTGGGAATCCAAAGATCTGCTGGGGCTCGTGCACGTAGTACGGGTTTTGGCTGCGGATTGCGCTGTCAAGGTGGACCTTGAGGTTTTGGATTGATGGGTAGTCGTAGCTCAGGTGGGGTGCGTGCTGGGAGTCCCTGACGATGACGTTCTGGCCCTGCTGGAGCTGGTGAACGAACTGATCGAGCTCGACGAAGTATTGGCGGTGCTCGTTGATGTCGATTATCTTGCCGTTGTAGTCGAATTTGGGGCCAAGGTAGACGCGGACAACAGCGTTTTGAATTGGCTGTTCAGCATTGACAACGATTTTGTATTCGTATGGCTTGTGGTTGAGTCTTGGTACTTGACCCTTGACCTGCACGTTCTGTTGCTCAACGTTGTGAACATTCTGTTGGACTGCGTTGTTGAGGTTCACCTGGTACTGCTCGAAGTAGGTCACGAGATTGGGGAAGACAACGTTCTCAATTTGTACAGTGGGGAGGACAACATCGTTGTATTGCCATGCTGGCAGGCCATTCTGGTAGCGGTTGAAGAGCTTGACGATACGCTTGACAAGGCTGAAGAAGACGGGGTCACGTACAGCGGTTTCGTGCTGTTGCAGGACTGAGGGTGTGTAGTCGTAGATGCTGGTGAAGTCTGGGACATTGCCGAGAAGTTGACGAGCTGCTGCCTGGAAGCTACCGTAGTATCTTGGATTGATGCTCTTGCCGACACCCTCGATCAAGTCACCGAGGATGTTGAGACCCTGGGGCTGGTACAGAGAAAGGAATGACTGCTGGGGTGTGATAACGTGGCCAGCGTCGATTGCCTGGATGAGTCTCTTCTCGAATGCCTGGACATTCTTGATGAGCTGGTGCTGTTTGGGCACTAGGTTGACACTGCCGCTGCGACCTGGGTATGGAAGACCGTTGATATGCTGGAGGTGGGGCTGGTAGGAGATGTCTGGGTGCTCAACATTGAGGTCCTTAATTGGGCCAAGAGAGTTGGAGTGACGAGCGAGGTTGTAGTGACCAAGAAGCTGACGCTGGAGATAGTAGTAGATGGAACCACGTCCGATGTTACCCTGACCCTGTTCCTCCTGGACGCCGCGGATGGTTTGCTGAGGTATTAAAAAATAATAAGTAATTTTGAAGGTTTTTAAGTGCTTAGGAGAGTATTCAGGATTAATTACCTCTGGAGTTATCAAACCAGCGAGACCAGTGTAGGCGTTGTACAAGGAGAGACCGATGTCGTGGGTGAAATAGCTCAGGTATTGCTCACCAACTGGCAGAGTGTCTGTGTAGTTGACGTTGATGATGACAGTCTGCTTGGTCAATGGGTTGTTGACAACGTGCTGTGCCTGCTGGATGACTCTGTTGTCGAAGTAGTGCTGGGGGAAGATCTCGTAGAGGGCTGGGGGTACGATTCCCTGAGTGTCAGGTCGAACGAGGATAGCGGCGATGAGTGCCTTGACGTATTGCTCCTCATTTACGTGAACGCGAGCCCAGGCAGCGGTTTTGACGAAGGTGTCGTAGTTCTTGGCGCCAATGAGAATTCTCGTGAGGACAGCCACTTCCTTACGGAGGGTGCTCACAGAGATGGAGAATGGAGTTCCTTTTGGCTGGATCTCACCCAATCTCATGAGTGTCAAGTAGTAGTTTACGAGCTCTGGTTCATTGTAGTTCTGGACATGTTGCTGGATGTCGTAGGTGAGGCCTAGTTGCTGGTACTGTTGGTTGGGAATTGGCTGGAGGATCTGATCCAATAGGGAAATTATGTCCTGCTGTTTCTTCAGCAAGTCCTGGTCAGCTGGATATTTCAAATAATGATTTGTTATCGTGTACTATTGGAGAGACTCCAGGAGGAATTTCAGGTGATGTAACAATTGGAAAATTAATGTAAAAGTACTTACCAGCGTGGAGCTTGAGCTGCACTGGGATGGCGGTCGCTGTGGCCACCAGGGCCGCTAGTACAAGAGCGAATCGCATTGTTCAATTAGAACACGAAACCTGTTCTGTGCTCTCCATCTTGCAGACCCCGGCTTTTGTACTCTTCTGGTATCAATAAATTCGGGGGTATCGGCCCATTGACCCTGCTCCATCCCGGAGATGCGATGTCTGCACCCAAATGATTACTGCATGTATTCCCATGTTTTTCGAAACCCGGGGGTCATACGGGTCGTCCAAAAATTTGGCTATGGAATTTTTTTCCAATTCCCTGATTGTACGATCGCACGAATTGATGGAGAACATCCGAAAAATAATTTTCCATACTATTTTCCATTCTGTATTTTTCCATTCCAAGAAGTGAATTTTATTCGAAAAAAATATGAATAATTAAATTTAGAATGTTGTTGTCATCGAGTAATTGTTTCTCTTTTTACGGCAGGAGATAGTCGACAACTTCAGAGATAATTATTGCTGAAAACATGAATTTAATTTCAGAACGGCATTAGATTCATTAGTTCCACTAATCGACGGTTTTTAATATATCAGAGATAATGCATCGATAATTGGGTGATAACCACCCACGGATCCGCGACAATCAGTTGCTCACTCTCAAGACATCAGCATTGCAACATCTAAAGTACATTAAAATAAATTCAAGTTAAATAAAGTGAATTTATTTATAAATAAATTCAAGTTAATTAAGATAAATTTTCATCGCGTAACATTGAATAATAATAAGATTTCAGGACCATATATTTTTTTGCCTCAATTTTATTAAGAGTTTCTCAGAAATTTATT